CTGTTCTATTATTTTGCTATTATGTTACTATTATGTTACTCATATTGACAAACTTTCTGTTATTTTACTGTTATTCTACTGTTATACTGCTATTATGCTGCCATTATTTGGCGGATATAGGGTAGAATAATGGCAGATTTTTTTTCTGTTATTTACTTATTATTCATCCTTTATTTATTCGTTCAACCTGTGTAAGTAGAATCAATCTATAGCATTAAAACATTGTTTTTATAAACTATTTAGAAATATTTAAATAAAAAAATTTATTTGTAATGCTAGATACATTTTCTTTGTCACTAAAATAAAGTAAAAATTTCTAAACCGTAAAGTTAATAAATTCTTCTAATGTAGCTTGTCTTCTATTTTCATTACACAAATAGTTAATATACTTTTTAAGACTATATAAGTTTTTTATTAAAGACAAAGTAATTTCTAGATCATTTTGCTGAATATATTTTATTACCTTATCAAGTTCTACAATTACATCTCCAATTTTAATCATTTCTTCATTTTGTTCTTTTTTTAATTCACTCTCATCTTGTTCATTCACTACATCAATAATATCATCTATAGTTAAGTCTTCTTTGATATTTATATAATTGTCAATCTCAGAAGGATGGCGATTCTAGTATAGTGGTTGGGTTGTCATCCTCCAAGTAGCAGATCTAAGGTTCAAATCTTACCTATGATGAAATTTAGAAATTAACCTGTGTTATGGCAAACTGTCTCTTGATGATCGGTTAAATTTGTGTATCTGTAACCTTAAGTTACACTATCTTGAATGGAAGCTTGGGGCATTTATGCCAAGTGTAATGTTACATGTACATAGAGAAATGTTAATAACCGGTGTTGCATAAGACTTCGGTACAAACCCACAATAAGACCACTGGGTACAGTAAACTAAGAAACTGAAGAGTCAGAAGCCTACTTAAAAATTCCTGAATAAAGAGGTAGCATGAACTTTCGACAGTATGGTCAGACTAATAGAAGCCCATAAAACACCCTCAAAGAGATAGATGGATAAACTGGATATCAAGATGTGTAGAAGAGCATATGACCAACCAGGCTGCTGAAATCACTGAAGAAAAAGGATATATAAGTATATTATACTGGGCTATCTGGATTGGAAGTTAGAGGAGTCCTGTCAGTCCTGAGTAGTGGTTAGTAAGGAATGATTGAGAAGAAATCACGATGATAGGTACTGGGGTTCTAGTGAACTTTACAAAGGTAAAAATAGTATAACGTAGCAGTTAAACAGATAACCCCTGTGACTGCAAGTGTTAGGTAACTATAGCATGTTGCATAAAACTAGATCAGCTGTATGTGGGACATAAAAGGTTCTAGTAAGTTTTCTGTCAAGAATAAACTAGTCCTAAGAGTACTTAAAGACATTGGGTACTTTGAATAGGTGTAGCCTTGAAGATGTCTTCGTAAGACATAGTGGACTACATATGCAGAGGGTTTAAATAGATGAGACCTGTAGTTGGCTTGCAGGCATGGCACCTAGTATAGAATCTGTATAGTAATGTATAGGCAGACTACTTAAATTAGGCACCAAAAGTGCACGTGTGGCTAGTTGTAACCTCCAATGTAAGGGAGCCCCTAGAGGCACCTGAGTCCAAATACATAAATAAAAACATCAACTCCCATAGACAGAGACTTTAACTCAAAAAAAAAAAAAATAATTGTTAATCTTGATATATTTATATGCATCTATAGAATCATCAATTAGTAAATGTTAAATAAGATCTATAATTTCTTCTTCCAATTCAGTTTTTTCAGGCATAGACATATTTAATTCAGTTTCTTTAAACAAGAGCATATCTAATCTGGTTTCTTCAGACATAGAGGTAATAGAAGGAAGTATACCAGCTCTATCCCAACTACGAATAATTGTACCTGCAGTAACATTTTTCCATACTTGAGCCACAAAGTTAATTGCATTATATAGTGTAATATCAGGTAGAACTGAATTGTTTTTGGTAATTGTATTATAAGCTTTAAGACGATTTTGATACAAAATACATTGATATTGTGCTTACAAAAAATAAATATAACTTTTTAATAAATAATAATGAATTGAGATTCTTAAGGTTTTTACAGAATAATGTATTACAATATAGATTTCATTAGTTAGATATAGTCTAACCAATGAAATCTACTTCATAGATATGCTATTCTGTAAAAACCTTATAAATTATTATTATGGCTAAAGCTTGAAATTAGGGATCTCGATTTAAAAATGTGACAATTATTTTAAAATTACCTTGAGGCTATAACCAATTTCTTGATCAATAGGCTGAAGATGAGACATTGTATTAGAAGGTAAAAAATATATACAAATATTTGATAAGTCTTGAATATTTTTTGAATTATGTGATAAAGCATTATTAAGAAGTAAAATAATGTTTCATCGAGCAAGTCTCATTTGACTATTAAATTGTTTTAAAAAATAAGTAAATATACTTCTTTGCATCCACCCTTTTTTATTCCAATAATACCAGACTAGAAGAGTAGATTTGTTAATACTACGAAGTACACATGGAGTTTTGTATTTATAAATAAAAAGAAGTAGTAATTTTTCATTACCAGTAGAATTACAAGTAATCATAAGTGTAACTCTGTCCTTTGGTTTTTTTTTCCTAAAACTGGACTATATGCAAGTGTCTTGCTTGGCTCAAGTCACCAAAAAAGTGCTGTCTCATTACAATTGAATATGTCTCTAGGTTCATAATTTTGAAGAACCTCTTGAAGTTCTATACAAAAGTTTAAAACATCTTTCAAAGGCATACTACTGGCTTTTTCTCTATGTCAATATGAAGAAATATCATTTTTTTTTTTAAAGTTAGCAAGCCAACCATCAGATGCATTAAATTTAGTAATTCCAAAATAATTAGCAAATTCCTTAGCTTTAGCTTGAAGAAGGTGGCCTGTAAGAATAAGTTCATTTTAATTGCCTACTCAGCCCAAATAGACATCACTTCTTCAAGATCAGGATAATCAGGTTTTCTTTGATGTTTAGCTTGAATTAAAGTGGAATCATCTTTGAGACCTAACCAGTATTCAGAATATTTAAGAATATCCAATACTAATTGTTTACTTATTCCATATTCCTTAGCTAATTTGACACCTTTTAAATTAGGATTATTGTATTTTTTTTCATATAATTTCTTTTTTTGTGCACCAGTTAAAGTTATTCTCTTTTTTATATTAGTACTAGAGCTTTCTTTACAGTTTTTAATTTTATTCATAATGAATACAATTCATTAATATGTGATCTGAATTATGTTTCTTAATTTATATATTTTTTGCAAGTTATTTATACTGATTATTTAGTAAAGGTGTAATTATTATCTTTTGCTTTTTTTATCACTATATATTATTCTATAATAAGTATTATTATTATAATCTTTGTGTTATTATAATTTTACTATCATCACTAATTATTTAAATTTTATTTAGATGCCAAAATAAGTAAAACAATAAGTTCTCAGATTCATAGACTCTTGCAGAATACTCTAATTGCTTTTATATTTCTATTTTTTTTTTTTTTTTTTTTAATCTGGTAAGTTCATTCTTTTGCATATATACCTTTTTTTAAGAAATATTGTTATTCGTACATCTTTTCTCAAGAAATATTATTATTATTATAATGTTCTGAAACCTTTTTTTTGATGATTACTAGTTTGTTAAAAACTTTGTTAAATAATAAGATACATAATAACTTATTTAATTTATTATTCAATAGTGATAGTGAGTTTATAAAATCTTAATTTATACTAATACTAATATTAAATATGTATTATTTGTTGCATGAAATGCAATAAAATATGTATAATAAATTGTTGTGACCTTTACTAACCACTACTGCAAATTATACGAAGGTAAGCATTTAATTAATCTTTAATATATAGTATTTTTGAAAATTGAAAAAGCAATTACTTATTCTTTATATATATATTGCATTGGACTCTATTGATTGCATTATTTACATCATTAATCATTCATTTAACTTATACTATATTTAACTTACTAATGATTACATACTTTTTATATGTCCAAAAACTAATGTGAGATATAAGTACTTTTTTCAATATATTATTAATACTAGATATCCTTAACTGAATTATTGTTATTATTTACTTTGAAACTTTATTTTTTTTTTACTAAGAACATTTCTTAATTTGGTTATATGCAACATTTCAAATTATTATAGTGTTGATGCATGTTTCATTTTTTGATTTGATCATTATTGTAATGTACTAATATGTATAATTTATGATGCAAATAATCTAGTAATACATATCTAGTTTATTTGTTAATCTAAATTTAAACTTAAATTATAATAACTAGTTTGGCCTTTAAATTGAGCACAAAATCCAATTGCAGGTGATTATTTTTAGGCTATTCTTCCTAACATAATTAGCTAGCATTGAGATAACACTCAAATATTTGTATGATTGCAGAAGAAAATTAATTGCCTAGATAATTTATTTTATGTTTTAAAGTACTTTCTAAAAACATGATGTTTCACTAACAAAAATTTACTATATATAAACACTATTAATAGTTATAAAAACTTTACTTAGAAAACATGTTTAGACAATATCAAATTGTATCGTAGAGTGAAAGTATTGTTACAGGTAAAGTGAACTATGATTAAAGATTATAACCTAATGTAATATAATTAACGATTATACTTCAAGTCCCTAATTGATACATATATTTATAATCGTCCAAAATAAGCAAAACATGCATAATTGCTCCCAACGATCCAAACATTGCATAATTAGTATATAAAGCCTAATTAGGAAAGAGATAAGATTATGATGCCTAGGTTTTAAAGTAGCAGAAACGAAGTAGCCAGTTGAGAGGTTTGTGTCAGAGAAAATGAAGAAACAGCATTGTTAATGAAAAAACTCAAAATAGACAACTAGAAGTAAAACTTACCTATGAGGCCCAAAGTGCTCAATTTAATCTTGTAAATGTGATAAAAAAATAATGAAAAAAAACTAATAGCATTTTAAAAATAATATAATTAGTTAGTAAAATGAAAATGTATAAAAGCAAAACAAGTGTAATAAAGAAAAACTCATCTTTCACAGCTCTTAAAGTAATTAAAAAGATTAAATGCACTTATACAAACAGTTGTAGTAATTTTAAAAATCTGTTAGAGTTGTTAAGCAAAAACTCAAGTACTAGCTCAAATAAAACAAAAACTATACTTATTAAATCTTGTTCACACTTCTAGTAAAGTTGCCTTTTGTCCAACTTACAGTTTTGCTATTTATAATATCTAGAAACATTTTTTAATAATTATATATTCTGATTGGTTAATTGTCACAGGAAGTCATGGTTAGATCTACAAAATTAACCAATCATATAAATGCTTTTCTACAAATAATAAAATCCACTTTACTAAGAAATTTTTTATTATATTGGCATATTTTGGTTTTAAATCAAAATCTGTTATAAGTTATATTATGAGATTACTAATAATCTCTGATATATCAAAATAATTTTATTAGTAATAATTTTGTTCTATTAAAATTCTCTGTATTAAGCAATATCCATTATATTAATAATCTATTATATCAAGAGGCATTGTGTATATGTATTAGTTGCTCTGTTGAATTATCTGGCAGACCTGTAAAATTTGGCTCTTTGAGTATATTTCTTTCTATAAACATTCTGGCTAATCTTTTTGTTACTACTTTCATAACAACTTTTCTAAAGGTCTTGATCAATGCTATTGGTCTAATATTGTTTAAGCTGTAGTTTCAGTCTATGTCTTTTGGGATTGAATATATTTGCACAATTTGCCACTTCTTTAATATGTTTTCTTTTTCTAAAATTAGATTTGCAAAGGCTCTAAAGATCTTTTGTAATTTCTTCTCTGTATGTTTTATTAATATATAGCTTATGTCTAATATTCCTGTGCCTGTATTTACTTTAAGCTTTCTAAGTATTTCTTCTCATTCTTTTTCTTTTATTCCTTCTTTTAATTTTCTATACTATGTCTTATTGATCCAATCTTTTAGATTATATACTCTTTTTCATTCTTTTGTCATTTCTTCAAATTTGGTTTTCTGTTTTCTAAATTAGTTTTTAAAATAAGCTGCAAAATTATTTAGAACTGTATTTGGTTTTGATATTAGATTAACTTCTTTTTTGTCTTATATTATTATTATTATTATTTTTTTTTTTTTTTTAAAGTCCCTATCTTGGGAGTTGCGATGTTTTTATTCAAGTATATTAGGACATGGCATGCCACCAAGGGCTTACCTTACATTGGAG